GTACTATCGATAGCGGTTATATATAAGGAAGTTCAGTTTTGCTTTTCAATGGGGGCATGGCCCAGAAGATAGAGCCGGAAAGGCGCTTCCTCGTATACATTCTCGTATATCGGGCTCCAGCGTGGAAGACTGAGGGATGAGGCATACCTTGTTTCATTTATGGTGATCAGTTTTCTGTCAGCACTTTAAAGATGTTCCTTTATGTTCTGCTCTTCCTCCCTTCCCCTCTCCTCCCCTCCTCTTCCTCTCCTCCCTCCTCACCCCTCCCCTCCTCTCTTCTCCTCTCCTCTCTCAATGAGACTTGAATACTCAGAGCTTTCTTAGCAGTTTCTGTAATGGGCGATGCTGTTTCTCCTCCAGCTCTGTTCAGCAGTAACAAGGTGCAGAGGGCAGAGGAGCAGATGGGTAGGCTTCCCTCTCCGTCAGCTCCCTTCTTCTATCCTCTGAACTCTCTCTTGCACTTTTCCTTTGGTTGGTGCCCTATAATGTTATGAAAATGGTTCTGTTTTGAATTTTAGAAATTCTTTTCAACTTCCATATATTCTGACTTTAAAAATCATGAAAAGAAAAAAAAAAAAAGAACCTATCTACAGCATAAGTTTTTTTCTTCCAAGAATTTGAAGACAATGGAAATCGACTGACAATATAAACATTCTCTGAAGACAATCCAGATGGCATGGTGACTTCTTTTGCTATCTAAATGGTGCAGGTAAGATCCCTTGAGACTCTTTCCTTGTTAGAAATTGTATTTTTAATTTTTCCCAGGTGAAGCAGCAAGTGTTCCCAAACTGTGGAGACCATGCCAGCCAGGCGCCAAAAAGACCTTGCATGTGATCTCCCAATGTTCATGGTCTGCCTGTCAAACCCTCAGTCCAAAAGGAGCTATAAGGGGCTTGGAGAGCTACAACAAACAAATGGAAAATCAGAGACTGAGAAACAGTGTTAAGGGTTTGTGCAGTGTTGGATTTTTTTCTATTTGCTAAGGCTAATACATGATAAAGCATAGTATGCTTACTCTGTGCCTCTTGTTTCATATATACAGCAGCTACTGATTATATAATAACGGTACTAGTTAGCTTTCTCATCGATAGGACAAAATACCCCGTGAGCACAATTTAGGAAGCAGAGGTTAATTTGGCTCACAGTTTCAGAGAACTCAGTCCATGGTTGGCTGGCTCCAAGAATTGCAGTGCCAGAAGACTGTTGCCAAAGACAATTGTTCAACCAATGGCAGCCAGAAAACAGAGAGAGAAGGAAGAGCAGATGGGAGAGACACTCTCTCCACAGGAACCCCCTGTCAGTGACCCACCTCCTCCAGCCGGCCCCCACCTCCTAAGAGCGCATCACCTAGGAATGAACCAATGGATTAATCCACTGATGAGTGTAACACTTCCATGACCTGGTCACCTTCCAAAACTCTGCTTCTAAACACTGGAGACTTTGTGGGGGACATTCTAGATTTAAGCTATAACACCGACTGTGTGTGGCTTTATGTTGAGTGCACCAGACAAGTACAGCACCTGCCTTCGCAGAAGTCACTGATCAGTGTGGCCATGGTGTGTTGGCTTTAAGCAGCAGAGTATGGCGAGTGCTGGTCTATGCTCTGACTTCCTCACTTAGATCAGCACAAGCTTTTAAAGATGAACTGCATCCATGTGAAAGAATGAATCAGACTTTATTAGGCAAAGGGGAAAGAAGACCATTGTTCCAGCCAGAGGTACCAGCAGATAGGAAGCTCCAGAGATCAGAGAAAGGCAGTTGCTTCCCTGAGGTCAGTATTGTTGGAGCTTGGGGTGCAGGTGGGTGGTGAAAGTGGGGAGTGATGGGGCTGATGAGGAAGGGAGAGGCCCGACCATTCCGGACCTCCTAAGTCATGCTGAGGAATTTGTCCTTCATTTCAAGAGCAATAGGAACTGATTGCATGGGTTAAATTGAAAAGCAATATCATCAGTTGTGTTTTTTAGAAAGATGATTCTGGGGTGCTATGTGGATGGTGGGAAGGGGTGAGACCGGGTATAGAAAGCCTTCTTGGAGAGGACAGGGTAGGGCGTGAAGTTGGAGAAGCCAATGGGAGACAGAGAAGGGGTGGCTGTGAGAGGCAGTGAGAGACTCTAAATTCCTGTCTAACCCTTTTGGTGATGGTGACTTGGCCAGATGACTCAGAAGGACGTTGGGCATCCATATGACCTCTCTCGACCCCCCATGGTGCCATTTCTGAGCTCTGAATCAGTAATTTAGAGCTGAGTGAGACTTAATAGAATCACCAAGATGCATTCCAGGGAGTATCCGGCTTTGTGACATTCTCCTCCGGTGCTGGCAGCATGCTAATTGCCAAGCTCCCTCTTTTCTGTGCTGCATGAGGCTAAAGACCCAAAGAATTTGTCCTCATGAAAAATTGTGCAAGTTTTTCAAAATAATCAGTTCTTTCATAAGTTGGTCACCCCTCTTCATTCTTTGTACAAAGGGGACAAAAAGGACTCCACACAGTCAGGTGTCATTTCTGGACTAGAACACAGCTGCGGATACTGGAGTTTTTGGGAATTCGGTGTTTGGTAATGCTGCTTGGGTTTTATTTTGCTCATTCCATAAAAATAGTCCGCCTTCTATCCAAAGTGGTGGACAGCGTTTTTCTTTGTTTTACAAAGATGAAAGAAAGCCATGCAGTTACAGTGAGCAGGTTTCTTACAGAATTAAACTAGGAGCTTCCCATTGGGAACTGGCTTCCTGTGGAAAGAAGAAAGTGACATGAAAATGACTTCTTGTCCACCTGTAGTTTGACCAGACAAGTTAGTACCCTACAATGTTGACAGACGGTGATAGTTACAAAGGGGATTGTCGTCACAGCCACAGGCATGCATCTGCTCTTCCATGAGGAGGAGGGAGCTACACACAGCAGGGACTTCTGTCGTTACCTCAGCAGTCCAAGTTCTGACAGACCAGCGGGGACTGGGAGAACCATCGCTTCACTCTGGGGCTGTCTATTGGGACCACTGCCTCTGTCCTCTGTGCTGCTGAGCTCCGGTTACGGAAGACAGTGAATGCATGTTTGGTTCAATAAAATGTGCACTGCCTTTCTAGACCAAAGCCCTTACTTGCCCATTTAGAAAACTCTTCCTTCCAACTCCTCTCTCACTTATGTTCACCTGTAGAGATTGGGGTTCAGACCTGCTGGGGTGACAGCTGCTCAACTTTGGGCCACATGCTCTTGGGTTCAAAGATGTGACACCATAAAGGTAGGCTATAGAAGAAAGAGTAACTTTGTCGTGCTGATGTCTGCTGGGGTCACTCTCCCTTTTGAGAGTAAATATAATTCACTGGAGCCTTTATTCTTCAGGCAGAGGGATGATCCCCATCTCTCTGGGGACTTTTAGGTAAATGTGGTGATCTGGGCTGCTTTCCTTTATCAGCCCTGCTTCTCTGCTTCTGAAGTTGGAATTGTATCAGCCTCAGCACCTTGCATGTGCTATTCCTTCTCCATGTTACAATGCCCCACATTGGAAACCACTTGCATGGCTGTTTTTCCAAGAATATAATCCCATACAGTTGATAGGTAGCCTGTCTTTCACTGAGGGTTCTGAGTTGTGGAGGGAATTTATATGATAACACTGTAAATCAAATAAAAATATCCTGATTTGAAAAGAGATTGTTGCCATTATAATTTCTACCTGCCCTCCTCACCTTCCTAAACTACTCTGTTTACTGCATTAATTGCTTAAGCCCACAGCCAATTTCAGCAAACAGACAGGTGCTGTTTGCTTTTTTGTCTTTGGAGCTCTTTTGCATGTTCTTCCATATTCAGAGATTCTGATCAGAGACCAGGCAGGCTTGAATTTGCTAATGCTAGGTCAGGAGAATAAAGTGTTAATATTTAGGTGTCTGGAGTGCCCATTGGTAGCTTGAAATTGGTCACGGGGGAATATTTACACCACAGAAATTGGTTACAAGTCTCTACCCTCCTCCTTCTCCCCCTTTTTCTCCCCTTTTCTCCCCCTCTTCTTTCTCTTCTTGTTCCTCCTCCTCCTCCTCCTGCCCCACCTCTCCTCTCTCTGTCTGAGGTCTAATCTGGCAACAGAGCACTGCTTCAAAAACACGAACACGTGCAGGATTATCACTTCATTGCCACTGGAGCCAGCAATGACTGCTTATGTTTTGAATTTTTTCTCTTCATCACAGGCTGAAGTAAGACCTGTGAACATTGACTTTTACTGCTAAACCTGATTAAAGCTTATTGTGAGTGTGGTGGGATGTTAGGTATGGACGTATCCAGGCTGTGGTTGGAAAGCTAAATGCCACGGCCACTCCAGTGGAGTCTGCATGACAATGCCGGTCACCTGGCAGAAACCAGACCTGAGGTATCGTCCCCACGGGGTTAAGCTTCCTGGAAGTCCTTGGCACACACCGCATGCGAAGTCAGCCGTGAAGAGAATAGCTGGCCTCTCTGCCTGCAGTGTGGGGACATTGGGTTCATTTATAATTCTGTTCTATTTTGTCTTTATTACTATTTGTTCATTATCTGTAGAATTGTATTCTGGGCCCAGGAAAGGTTAGGAACAATTAGATGTTCCTAGAGATGGGGAGGTGTTGGGGCACAAGAGGACGGGCGGCCAAAGTGCTGACCCTGAGCCCCGGACTGTGAAGTCCTGAAGGTGATCCTGAAGGTGACATGCTGAAGCCAGTCCTTTGTTTTACAAACTTCCCCTTCTGACTGCGTATAGGTGTGGTCTTACCTTGACTTAATGGTCTTAGCTTTTGTGATTATATATAGGTGTGGTCTCACCTTGACCTTGTGGTTTTAGCTTTTACAGTACTATTGTCTATCTTTCTCATGCCTGCCTGTGACTGGAATCACTCTTGAAGTGTGCCCTTGAAACTAGTATATATACATCTAGAGTTAGAAATAAAATTGCAGCAGCTACTACCTTCACTACTCAGTGCTGTGTGGTTTCTGATTGTCACCGCCGAACCTGCTCCCACCTTTCTGAAGATCCCTGTTCTCCTCCTGAAATCCAGTCTTTGCTCCCCTACGGTCGGTAGCAGCTAAATCCCTCTGAGCCTTGGTCATGGGATGGTCAGTATGAGTGAGGGAATTTGTGAAGGTTGGGAAGCCCACTGTATCCTGTTTCCATGGGAGAATAAAAGCAGAAAACAGAAAGAGAGGAACCAGTGGAGATAAGGGTTGGATATGAAACAAAGGGACTCTTTTAGTTGGGCTGGTGACAATGGATAAAATGTGACTTGTGAATTGATACCAAGTAGATCGGGATGGGAAAGTCAGCAGAGTGACGAGATGATGTAGATCACTGCTCTGATTTCCTCTTCCACGTTTTCTATATTCTTATTACTCTGCTTCTTCAGGATCTTCCTCAGATGAGGCTAATGGAGGTCATGTTTTCTTTTCTGGTTGGCCCATGCCAAGTAATTCATTAATGTTTTCAAATAAGACTTAATTCTGTTATTTCTTAATAGAAAACCCTATTCAAACCCTCTGTCAGAAGCTGCTGGTCCCTTCCAGGGAAGGTTAACACTGTTTAGTCTTTGATTCTCACTGAATGGGTGTTAACCATTGCCCTCCACATGCCAGCACTGTGCGGCCTTCTCTGGGACAGGATGCGGTCCTGTTGTGTGGAGTGTAATGACCTACACATGGCTGGGCCTGGTCTTGGCTCTTCTGGTCCTGGTCAGAGACTCCTCCTCTGGAAACAGTATTTC